CCGCTTGCCCTTTCAGAAGGCATGGATGACTGCCCTCGCTTTTTAGTAGCCCCACTACCTCAGTGCCCAGTGGGATTAGATTTCTGCATGAATGTTGGAGGGGACACTGAAGCCACAACACTCAGTTTGCCGTATTCAGTCAGGTTGCATACCTTTTACCTCTTTACAAAAATGACCCTGACCTCGGTCCTTGAAACAACAGCCTTGCTGGTCTTGACAGGCTTTGAGTTCATTTCACACCCTGGGTTGTCTTCTCATCTAGCCTTGAAGATTCTGCACAGCCTTGTAGTGCTGTGCTTACTGTGAGGACAAAACACCTAGTTTGTTTAGTGAGTGAGAAAGAGTCTGCTTGATGGCCTAGAGTTTTCTCCAGTGAAGTGGCGTGGGTCACAGGTGTGCTTTGAAATCCAGCACGTCTGGATTTGGGTCTCAGCCTATGTAATAACTGCCCTGGACGACTCACATCCCAGTAGGGGAGGTTGCATTTATTTATTGAGTCGGGGTCTCTTGCCCAGGCTGGAGTGCAGTGGCACACTCATGGCCACTGCAGCTTCAACCTGCTGGGCTCAGGCGATCAGCCTTGCAAGTTGCTGGAACTACAGACGCGTGCCGCCACACCTGGCTATTTTTTTTGTTTATTGTAGAGACGAGGTCTCACCGAGTTGCCCAGGCTGGTCTTGAACCCCTAGGCTCAGGCAATCTTCGCCTCAGCCTCCCAAAGTGCTGGGATTACAGGCTTGAGCCACCACGCCCGGAAGAGGGTTGCATTTAAACAGGCTGTTATCACGGATCCCTGGGAAATTTCAGCCTACTTTTCTCACCGCCACCAACCGCTCCTGTGCACTGGCGGTTCTCACCACTAGTGGCCCTGTTCTGCATTTGCCCAGGGCTCAGCCACATGCCCAAATGCGGTCATCTTAAACTCACATCCTTCATTCTTGTGTTTGAAAATTGTGTATCCCCTGAGGGCCTTTGTGTCTGTTCCTTCTCTCCATCCCTGTTCCTTTAGTCACACTTTCATTCTCCCTTGATTATAGCAGCTTCCGGGCTCCACATTTTGCTCATTCTGTTACTATATTGCCAATTGCTTCACCTTTGTGACTCAGTTTTCTTACCTGAAAAGGGGGTGATTAAAGTGCCCCCGAGAGGGTGATTGTGAGGATTGGGTGTGAGTACTGACGAAGCACTTAGTGTGGTATCATAGGGTGAGTAGTCAGTAACCATCAGCCTGTATTTCATAGTCTCGGCTAACTGAGGACGTTGCAGTTTTTAGATGCCCAAAACTAGGCTGTTGCTCTCCAGCTAACCTAGAACTCCTAATACTTAGATTTTAAGGGTGGATTGTGACTCTCCCTCTTTTTTCGGGAGCAGGAGATATCCTTACCCTATTTATAGGATTGAGAGGTCAAACTTTGGAAAGCTGAGATCTCTCTGTTAACGAATGGGCAATTAATCTGTACTAACATTTGACCAGTTTATTTCATCCTCGTGACTGCTTTGAGATGTGGGGACTATATTTTATGATAAAGATAAGAGACTCAATAAGAGAAGATACCTCACTCATGGTCACATTGCCAGAAAGTGGCAGAGCCGGGTCTTGAACCCGGAATCCTTATGCCAGAGTTCCCCTGATCTCTGTGCTGTCTGACCACCATGTAGAAGCCTAATGACTCCAATACATTCGCGGTGGGAGGGGGTGGTGCCAAGCAATGTCTGGAACTGCATGTATTTACCGTGTACAATTGGATGAGTGCAGACACCTATGATACCTTTGTAGTCTGGTTCCTACTTAATTGTTTTCCCTTTTACTTCCTGTTACTGATTTCCTACTTTAGCTATTAGGAAAAACGTGTTTTTGCAGCTGTCTGCATGTGCGCTTGCCTTTGCCTGAAATGCCTGCACCGTCCTTGGTTTAACTGGTGAGTTCCTGCGTGTCCTTCAACACACATTCGATGACACTCATGTTCATTGTGCTCTCATAGGTGACACCTTCCCTGAAGCAAGTATTTCCAGGGGAGAGAGGAAGAAAGCACTTGGGATCAAATAGGAGACATTACTTCTGGTTTGAGTTGGTGGAATAGAATTCCTGGCATCTTAGTTCCCATGACAGGTGTGTTTGCTTCTGTTACAGTGTTTATCATTTTGTTAAGCGTGTGTCTTCCCCTCTACAACCTGAGGTTAGGGAATGTGTCTTATTAATCTCTGCACTCTTGGTGTCGGATATGTAGTAAACATTCAGTATATGCCCTGTCAATTAATGAGAATTAATGAGAAAAGCACTGCTGGTTTGTTTTTTTTTTTTTCTTTTTTTGAGTTGGAGTCTCACTCTGTCGCTTGGGCTGGAGTGCAGTGGCATGCTCACAGCCACTGCAGCCTCCACCTGCTGGGCTCAGGTGATGCTTCTACCTCAACCTTTGAAGTAGCTGGACCTATAGGCACATGCCACCATGCCCCACTAATTTTTTTTTTTTTTTTGTTAGATTCTCACTCCATCGCCCATGCTGGAGTGCAGTGGCATGCTCACAGCCACTCCAGTGTCGACCTGCTGGGTCAGGCGATCTTTCCGTCTCAGCCTTCCAAGTAGCCAGAACTACAGGCCTGTACTACACCTGGCTTATTTTTTGATTTACTGTAGATATGAGGTCTCACTAAGTTACCCAGGCTGTTCTTGAACCTTTGGGCTCAGGTGCTCCCCTCACCTTGGCCTCCCAAAGTGCTGGGATTACAGGCTTGAGCCATCATGTAATTTTTTGGTTTATTGTAGAGATGAGGTATCGCTATATTGTCCAGGCTGGTCTCAAACCCATGGACTCAGGGAATCCGCTCAACTTGGCCTCTCCAAGTGCTGGGATTATAGGCGTGAGCCACTGTGCCCAGCTGCCAAACACTGCTGTTTTTTAAAAATGAATAGACATTTCTGTGTGTTCACTCTTATCTTCCTTTGGACTTTACAAAGCTATAGTGTTGCTTTGAATGTGGAAGGCAAAGAACCCGTTTGCTCATGAGCAAGTGGGATGTTAAATCTCCCCTGGGATGTGGAAAGATCAGGAGACCACAGACATTCCTTTGTTCATTCCCCAACAAGTCGTGTAACCCTCATCTTTCACTGTCAGATGATGTCACCTGCATGAGTGTAGGGGTTTGGACCAAATGATCACTAGAGGTCATTTGTGCACTTAGCATCCATGATTCAATGTCTTACCACTACCAGGTAAAGTCACCATTGTGAGTGTGAACTGTGACTTGTCAAAAAGAGAAATGGGACTTTGAGATGCTTCCGTTCAGGAGGGCTGGTGAAGCTATTGAGAAATGGTAACAACATGCAACTGTTGTCCTCAGAGCGGATACTTGGAAAATGAGACTTTCCATTTAATGCACACCCAGCAATTTTCCAAAAAACTCTGGAAGGCAATACTGTGACTATGCATATAATTTTTTGTATTTTGGGTTGAATTTTTTTTTTTTTGATTCGGAGTCTCACTCTGTTACCCAGGTTGGAGTGGAGTGGCATGCTCACAGCCACCACAGCCTTGACCTGCTGGGCTCAGGGGATTCTTCCGCATCAGCTTTGCAAGTAACTGGAACTACAGGAGTGTGCCACCACACCTGGCTAATTTTTAAAAATTTTTATTGTAGAGATGACGTCTTGCCATGTTGCTCAGGCTGGTCTTGAACTCAGGCAGTCCTCTTGCCTTGGCCTTTCAAAGTGCTGGGATGACAGGTGTGAGCCACCCGCCCAACTGGATTGATCTTTAAAGATAGGTGTTCTCAGGCATGGTGGTTCACACCTTTCATCCTATTACTTTGGGAGGTGGAGGTGAGAGGATTGCCTGAGCCCAGGGGTTCAAGACCAGCCTGGACAACTTGGCGAGACCTCATCTCTACAATAAGTCATAAGATTAGTTGAGTGTGGTGGCATACGCCTGTAGTTCCAGCTATTTGGAAGACTGAGCCAGAAGGATCACCTGAGCCCAGCAAGTCAAGGCTACG